CACACAAAATCTACTAGCCTGGGTCCTCTAAGGGTATGTGTCTACACAGCAGAGCTTAACTTGAAATAAGCTACACAAATTCAGCTATGTCAATTGCATAGCTTATTTCGAAATTGGGAGCATCTACACAGCACTAATTTCAAAATAGAGTACTCTTCCTCCAGTTTCCCTTATTCCTTGTACAATGAGGGTTACAGGAGTCAGAGTAAGGAGTCCTCCAGCTTGACAGGATTTCGATATTTCAAAATAACTGCCTGCTGTGTAGACACAGACTAAGTTATTTCAAAATAACGCTAGTTATTTTGAAATAGTGTTGCTGTGCAGATGTACCCTAAGGCTCTGGTGTCTGAGGAGAATGTGGGAAATGTCTTTCTCCTCAGCTGGGGGCTGCATCAGTGTGAGGTCTTTGTGCTTCTCTCTTGTGTGTGGTCTCCAACTGATTTTTTTTCTGTGGATCAGTGGCCCCTGACCCAGAAAGGTTCCCCACCTCTGCTCTAAAGACTACTTGATCTCTTTGCTCAATGCAATAGTTATCCTCTCACTCAGGCAGAATTGTGCACTCTCCACCTGATCTCCATACAACATACTTCAGCCTACTATTGTTTGCTCTCTAAGAGAAGAGTCCTAGATTTGAACAAACTCTCCAATAAGAGTATCTCTTAAATTTTCTTCCAGTTTGTCAGCAAGCTGACCTTTTCCTCTGGACCAATCTGCTTATTAGGCCACAGTGGGCTAATGTGACCATAGCAAACATTGTTGATCTTATTTTTATAAGCAATTCAGAAGCTGGGGACAAATCAGTTGTCTTCTAGGTGGAATCTATACCCTTGCTTTCAGCCTTGAATGTTTACATTCCAGTGGATAATGGAGAAGGCACAGGTGTTGCAAGGGAATGCTGCTACAATTTAGTCCTTTAAAATTCACTCAGGCTATGTCTACACTTGCGGTTTCTTGCATGAGTAATATGCAAATGAGGCTAAGTGTGAAATATTGCTGAGCCTCATTTGCATACCTAATGAGCCATCATTTTTTTCAGAAGAGGCTCTTGCACAAGAAGGAGCATCTCCACTGCCCCTCCTTGTGAAAGAAAAACCTTGCGCAATGCCGTTACACCTATTACTTTTCAGGAATAACAGCATTGCGCAAGAGGGTTTTGCTTGCGCAAGAAGAGGCAGCGTAGACGCTCCTACTTGCGCAAGAGCCTCTTCTGAAAAAAATGATGGCTCATTAGGTATGCAAATGAGGCTCAGCAATATTTCACACTTAGCCTCATTTGCATATTACTAGTGCAAGAAGCTGCGAGTGTAGACATAGCCCCAGAGTGATTGACAAACTTCATTCTGCTGTGCCAAGAGTGAAAAGCTTTATTGCTGTTACTCGGGCAGTACTCATCAATGTTGCAATTTTAAACTGTTATGTTTTGATAGATTTTTTTTTTTTCTTCCTTTCTATAATTGTTACAACACCTCAGGTAACACCCTTACTTTGCCTCAAAGCTGTATCTTGGGTGATTTTATCATTAGTATATTCAGAAGCTTTCATTTGAAAAGAAAGAATTCTATGATACATTTAAGTGTGAAATCAGGCTGAGATGCTACTGTGGTGGTTCCCAAACTGTGAGGTGCACTCCCCTTTGGGAGTGTAGAAGAATGCTCGGGAATGCACAGCAGGGCCTGGGCCATTACCCGTGATAGTTGGGGAGAGATAGCAGGGTTGGGTTATGCTCTGATCCCTGCCCTCATTCTGTCTCAACACCAGGCCAGCTTAATCTCTAACTTTAGCTCTTCCCCATATACTGAGTTCTGTCCCCAGCTGTTCAAGTCACCAAGGCCTGATGAAATACCTCCTCTATCAGCTCCTTGAGTATTTTAGGATGCATCTGAGCCATTAGCTATCATCTTTGAAAGATCATGGAAGTCAGGACAGATTCCAGAAGATGGGAAAAGGTCAAATATACTTTCCATCTATAAAAAGGGAAATAAGAACCATCTACAAGACTACAGACCAGGAAAGTTCATGGAGCAAATAATCAAGGAACTAATCTGGAAGAAAATAAGGTGATAGATAACAGCCAGCATGGATTTGTAAAGAACTTAATCATGTCAAACCAATCTGATAGCTTTCTTTTATTGGATAAAGGGGAAATGGTGGATGTGGTATACCTAGACTTTAGTAAAGCATTTGATATGGTCTCGCATGGCCTTCTTATCAATAAACTAGGGATATACAACCAAGATGGTGCTACTATAAGGTAGGTGCATAACTGTCTGGTTAACCATTCTCAGAGGGTACAGCTAGACTGCTGGGTATTTTTTGGGATGTCGGAGGTATCCCAAAAAAGCTCCGCTGCATCCAGGGAACACGCTGCCTTTCTTTTTCTTTTTTTTTTTCTTTTTTTTTGGCAGAAGAGCAAATGCGCTCTTTTGGTAGCCCCTGTATTCCTTGTTCCATGATGGAGAAGGGGGATTTTGAAAGAGGTTTTTTTTCTGAAATTTGGCCCAGTCTAGACAGGCCAAATTTTGGAAAAGCCTCTGACAAAAGTATAGGGAAAAGATGACACACTACATGCGCTTCACATTTTGTATCTTTTTCCAACAGAGCCTTGCAGTCCAGCCGTACTCAGAGAGTAGTTACTAATGTTATGCTTGACAGGCATAACAGGTGCAGTTCTACAGGGGTCAGTTTTGGGACTGGTTCTGTTCAATATTTTCTACAATTTACATATTGGCATAGAGAGTATGCTTAAGTTTGCAGATGATACCAAGCTTGGAGGGGTTGTAACTACTTTGGAGGATAAGGTCATAATTCAAAATGATCTGGACAAACCTAGAGAAATGATCTGAGGTAAATAGGATGAAGTTTATTAAGGACAAATGCAAAGTACTCCACAAACATGATTCAGGGATGCATTAACAGGAGCATTGTGAGCAAGACACAAGAAGTCCTTCTTCTCTACTCTGTGCTAATTAGGCCTCAGTTGGAGTATTGTGTCCAGTTCTGGGCACCACATTTCAAGAAAGATGTGGAGAAATTGGAGAAGGTCCAGAGAAGAGCAACAAAAATGATTAAAGGTCTAGAAAACATGAGCTATGAGGGAAGACAAAGAATTGAGCTTGTTTAGTTTAGAAAATACAGGTGTGAGAGGGGACATGATGGCAGTTTTCAAGTATCTAAAAGGATGTTTTTTACAAGGAGGAGGGAGAAAAATTATTTTCCTTGACCTCTGATGATAGGACAAGACAGCATTGCAGCAGGGAGGTTTAGTTTGGACATTAGGAAAAACTTCCTAACTGTCAGGGTGGTTAAACTCTGGAATAAATTGCCTAGGAAGTTTTGTGGAGGGGCAACGGGAAAAGTTTGAGCATTAACATGCTACTGGGTGTGTAATAATTGTAGAATTGGTTTGTATCAATTCTCCAGCCTGGCTCTGTTCCTCCTGTGCATGGGAGGCACTTTTCTCTTATGTGAGTTGGTTCTTGACTTGTAGCCATTATTCTTTGTATGTTGGTAGTTCGGCGGGAATCTTCATCCTAGATATTAAGACCCCAAAGGAACATATTGATGATTTTCCAAGAGATTGGGTAGAGCTTCTTCACCACATAATGTTTTGAACTGCAAACCTTAGTCAGGCAAAGCTCCCTTTGATTTCAGTTAGAGCTGGTTGGGAATTTTTCAACAATCAGTTTCAATAAATTTTCCTTAGGAATAGTTTCTCAGGTTGAGGGTGGAATTTCTGACCAGAGATGCACCAAAAACCATAACCCAATGTACCTGGGATATTGGGGGGGGGGGGAGGGTAGGAGAGAGCCTGATATCAAGTTGTGCTCTCATTTTTCATTACTCTTTGAAAGGTCTCAGGTTTGTCTTGGTGTAGAATGGCAAAATAATTTCCTGCCCAGCTCAAAATTTTGCCTGAGTTATGACTGTAGGAACTGATTATGACTGACAAAAAGATCAGCAGTAGCTATAAGGTTGCAATGGTCTACATTTTTAAAAAACAGTCTTTAACTGTGGGTGTTCAACTTCAGTTACTGAGGCCTTCTTTTTCAAAGGTTGTGAGCCACCTACAGTTCCCATGAACTTCAGATAGAGTTGGGGTTGTTAGTGCATTGAAAATTTAAAGGCTGCTTTTGAAAAACATAGCTATAGTTTTTATTTTAGTATATTCAGCTAACTTTACTGAACTGAAGGCTCCTACTTTCAACATTTTTGAGGTTAAGACCTGCAGAATTATCATCCACTTTCTCTTTTTGGTGATTGCACTGACTTTTATTAAGGATGGTTTTGCTGTATGCCACCTGAAGAGCAAAACTGAAACCACTCAAACCATGAACTGTAGTTGAATTGAGCCTATGTTGGTTACAAAAGGAAGTCACTTGTTAGAGAAATAAGGGCAAATGTTAACGACCTCAGCAATACTAATGTAGTAAAAAAGTAAAGGATTATGATAGGAAACCAGAATAGGAAATAGTAAAAGAGACACATGAAAATAAAGACTAAACTAATCAAGAGAAAAACCAGGAGGAAGAGCAATAAGAGAGACAGAACTAGGAGGACAGAGATAAGGAGAAGTAGGAGCAAAGATTAAGAGCATGGAAGAAGCAAGAAATAAATAGGCCTAAAGATGCAATCGGTGCTCTAATTATTTTGCTACAAAAAATGTTGTACCATACAATCAAGGTCTGGAGATCAAGTACATTCTCTCCCTGGGGTGAGGGAAGAGAACAGTTTCGCATTCTGATGCGAAGACACACATCCCCTCTTTTCCCTCAGAAAGACAAGGTATGACCACAACCTCATCTACTCCTGTCTCTTTTCTTTGACCTCAACAGTGAGAATCTCTCCTTCTGCTGCTGTGGGGGCAGGAGTCATGGTGATGATAAGAGATTTATTAGTGGTTCCTCTGTGCAGGACAGGTTTAGGTGAAGGCTCAGAAGCTGCAATTTGCTCTTCCTTTTGCACAGATGTTTTAGGTGGGATTGTGGGTTCAGGTGCCGGTTCAGGTTTCTTTTCCTCTGGTTCGGGTTTCTGTTCTTCAATTTTTTCCTATGAGAAAAAGTTATATATTGCTTAGTGCTGCAGACATGATCCAAGAACCCATGCTTTACTCTGAGTGTGAAGTCACAAGATAAGGTATGAATATTGAAATGGAGACAGAATTTACTGCTGTCACCTACGAGTGGATAAGTAGACCAGAACAGGATTATTATTAATGTGCATATCCCTAAAGTAGTCTGTTGTGTGGGAATTACTTCATTGCATTTAATAAGGGTTTCTTAGTCATTCAGAAACAAGCATTCCGAGCAGTCTTTTTTGTATTTGTTGTGGGTTACCTGAGCTGCTTGCTCTCTCTTCAGCTTGAGCAGCATAGCCAGGCCTCCTTTCCCTGCCCCTCCAAGCATTGCTTTGAATAGTTTAGGAGTTTCTGATTTTGGTGCAAAGAAGCTGGCCATGCCTCTTGCTTGCACTGGTGGCCCTTCAGTGGGCTTACCCTTCTCCTTCAGCAGCACCCTGTAGACAAGATGGAAGATAATAAACCCCTGTGAGAAATCTCCAGTCTAATGCTAAGATAATGCTAAAACTCCAAATCAAATCATGAAACATTTGTAGCTTTTTTTCAGGATCATTTTTCATCTTAAGCCCAGTAGAAAAGAAAAAGGGCAGGAAGGTATCATTCACTAGAGTATAGATCTATGGCAAACTGCTGCTTTTTGAATTTTGCTGTTCTCTGCAGGATACCGATAAAACAAATGTGTGCTCCAAACTAGGTCACATTAAAGGAGAATTGTATAAGGTAAGGTGAGAGAGAGGTATAAAAAGAGAACACACTACAATCCCGCCCCGCGATATGTACGTGAGGCAAAAATCTCTCTGGTTTACACTTCAGGTGGGTCTTTGTTCTGCTAGTGGATTTGCACTGATATGAATGAGCTAATGTGTTCAAATGACTTGCAGTGTGAATCACTGTTAGGTGCTTAGAATCAGAAAGGTGCCAGGTTGATTTATCTCTGTCAGACTCCTTCAGTAAATCACTGTTTGGAATCAAACGCTTTCTAATGACCAGCACTGACCATACAATGTGGTATCAGGAAGACAATCCAGGGACTTCCCATTCTGTGCTATGCCTGATTATCAGCCACAAGGAAAATGGAATCACAGTTTAGTGCATATTTTTGTTGATGATGCAAACTAGGCTGGACCTCACTTTTCTAAAACTCTATCAGTTTTGCAGGCACTAACAATATAATATCCAGAACTTTCTTGTGACAGTAAACTCCGTAGACCTCAACTAGAGCCACAGGACAGCAGGTATGAGCAGCATCAAGAAGCTGATTACCATGCTTTTATTTCTTTTCAGAGATTGCACAGGTTGTGGGCAGATCTTTCTATGCCAAGGTTTACCGAATGGATTTTTTTTATTTTTTTTTAGATCCAAAGCTACTCTCATTTCCTAATGTGCAATATGACCCATGTTCCTGTCATCATGTTTGTGTTGCAGCTTGAAATTCTGGAGTTGGAGATTGAGTGGGGTTGCAGTGCTGGTGCATTATGGTAAGGTGAATGGGAATTGGAGGTAGCTTAGTGTACTGAATGCAACTGTCAATTGGTATCTTCACTGTCATTTGAAACATCACTGATTTGCTCATGTTTTCTCTTGCAAAGTTCAGGAAGTGGGGGGCAAGCTTCTGCATCTGTGTGAGTGTTTGACACCACAGTAAAGTGTACAAAGTTAGTGGTTTTAGGCATAGTGAAAATATTAACTGTTTTACCAGTGATACCTTGTTTGACATATTTTTTAAGTCTTTCAGAGAGCCTTGTTTTACTGTGTCTTGTTCATAGCTAAATTGATGGCGTTTTCAATTTGATTTAAAATTGATGTTCAGACCATTATATATTGTATAGTCCAGCAGCACTGAAAATGGGTAAGCAACACATTAGGTGATCACAGGTCCGAACAGGACCAATGCAGTCCACGGTGAAGCACTGGTTGGGCAACTTAGGAGTCCTGTTTGCTTCTAAATGCTTGTTTGGCATCCTTTATGGAAAGGGGAGCTGAGACTTTTACCTTTATCGCTCTTCAGTGACTACTGGCATCCTTGCCATGACATGAAATCTACCAAAAATTACCTTGACAGTCCCATAACAAGCAGATAAGAACCAGTTTTTCTAAGAAATAAATATAATTATTGATCAAAATTCTGAATTCTGTATCTAAACCAATACGGTAGAGGCCGCACTTAGCCTTCTTCTTCAGGAGCTTTTCTGAGTCGGGGTAGTGCACCAAGATTTCATTGAGGGTCTTCTTGTCTAGAATAAAGAGATTGGCAAATCCATGTGCCACCACGTTAGCAGTCCGCCGATTCCCTCCACTTGCTGCTAATAGGCTGCAATAGAAGCAGTACAGAAAGTAGGGATTAGAGCTTGCATGGGTTAAGAGGATTTTTCCAGATGTTTGGTTTTTTTTCTTCATTTAATTCAGCACTCATCATTAAAAAGTTCACATTTACCCACAATTACCAAATTGCACTAACTGAGAGAGTGCAGTGCTTCTCTGTACTTGGCATAGCCCATCTTTGTGGTAACTAGGTAAATGTTGCCTCATTAATGGTCACTCACCACTGCCCTGGTAGTACTAGAAATGTAAGAAATTTTGCTGGATAGAAACCTGTCTCTCAGATGAGACTCACTTCAAAGCAGTCACTCATTTCAGTCTAAAAGTTTCCAACTTTCTGCATACATTTGGCATCCCCTCCCTTTTAGGGTTGAAAACTACTGACATCAGAAATAAAACATGGCACTGACGTTATAGAAAAAATATTTAATGTTAAGTGAATGATCCCACACCATTAATACATGAATCACTGTTCTCTGACCTTGATTCTGAGTCTGTTATATCACATCCCACACCTGGACCCTGGCAAGTTGTGCAGGTCTGTTTGCCTAACAGCTTGTAAATTATCTGTCTGAGGGTGAGGGGAATATGTTTTGAAAGTGATAAAAGAGATTAGCTTCACATATAGCAACTTGGCATGAAGAGTAGGGTACCCGAGTAAAAGTTTAGACACCTGTACAAGTACAGATCTGAGCAATGTATCTTGGAGTCTACAAACTTCACTGTCACCAGTGGCAACAATCTAAGTGACACAATGCCATGTATTCAGTGTCTTAATACAAATGCTGAATCTCCTTTCTAGGAGTATGAAATGGTTGAGCTGCACTAGATTTTTGTACCTCAGTTGATGGCCAATTAACCTAGTTACTTTATACATTTATAAAGGCTTGGGGAACACTCCCAGCATGTTTGTCCAAGGCCACTAATATTTGTTTTTCTTTTTTAAATTAGGTTAGTTAATAAGAATTGAGTGTAAGCATGTATATGGGTAAGATCTGAAATATTCATTGGCCTGGTGGGCAGTGTGTCTGATCCTTTGGGATTGGTAGATCTTTTAATATGCTGAACAAGATTTTCAGTAATCATCAAATTTGTCTTGGCTGCCTGGGTAGGAGCCCAAGACTGGATTGTAAGGCAGGAATGGGCAATAATTTTTCACGGGGGAGGGGAGCATTCCAAGATTTTGGAAGGTGGTCAAAGGCTGCACTCTTCCATGGGATTAATGGAGAAGGTGCAGGGTCTGGGATGGACATTGGGTGCAGAAGGGATCTTGGGATAAGGGATTGGGGTGCTGGAGGGAGAGTGGGGTCTGGGAGGAAGTTTGGTTGAAGGAAGCAGTTGTGACTTAGGATGGGATTGGGGTGCAGGATTTTGGAATGTGACTTAGGGCAGGAGGGGGTTGTGACCTAGGGGACTGGGGTGCAGGAGTTTTGGTTGTGACCTAGAGTAGGAGGGGATGATGATCTGGGGCAGAGGATTGGGGTGCCACATCTGGGAGGGGGTATGGATGCAGGAGGGGAGGGCAGCAGGTCTGGGTATGTTGGGGGGGAGAGGAGAAGGTTGGGGAAGGGAGGGGCTGGGGTGCCAGAGACAGGCTCTGACCAGGAGACTTACTAGCCAGCAGCCCAACCATATTGCCTGCCTGCCTGCTTGCAGAGCTTAAAACATTTCTCAGCCTGCCTGCCTCCACCTGCACAGGCTGCAGGGCCATGTGCTTATGTGAATAACTGAGCTGGAGGGTAGGCATGGTGCTTCATGTGCTCCCAGCTATTCAAACAAGCAGCTCCAATTGGCCAGTTTCTGGCCAGAAACCAGCCAATGGGATTGTGCTGGGAGTGGGGGCAGCGCCTGAAGCCTTTCTCCCCTCCCTTCCAGGTTCACAATTTTGAAAGAGAAATGGTCCGGCAGTTACTTTTCTGAGTGTCTGTGAGGTTGCGGGGCAAGCAGGGGAGCTTGCCTGGGGCCCCCCGCTGCATCTGCAGGCCAGATCCAGTTGCTTGGCACGCTGAATCCAACCTGCAGGCCATATTTTGCCCAGGCCTGTTTTAAGGGGACTGGGGTGTGACTTCTGGGTAACCAGTAAAGTGTTGTAGAAGCTGGAACAGTGAATTTAATTATTAGAAATAATCTCTAGTTTTGGGATTGTCTGCCCCCATTCTTTGAAGTTTTGCCCTGTATAAGCAATCTCCATGCGGTCCCCCTGGGGCCCTGGTCACAAACATGGAAAAAGCCAAATGAAGAAAAATGTTATTCATCAGATGTAGTACTTGTTGAAAGAAGGCAACATTCATGGAATTGTTTGTTGGTTCATTTTGTTGTTGTTGTTGTTGTTGAGTATTTGAGCAGCTCCATAAAACAGCTTTATAAACAGCTATTGGGTTACCTGATCTCTCCAAATACAGCGCCTGCCCTTAAGGTAACCAGGACTTTGGTGCCATCAGGGCCTCCAAGAACTTGAACTTCTCCCTGTTTGATGATGTACATCTCTCTGCCAATTTCTCCCTGGATACAGAAACATTACATGTTATAGCAGGATGACATTCTTTGAATGCAGTAGACCGACAGATGCCTCTTTACAAATCCTCTCCACCTTTATGGGGAATTAGAACTTGATTGTGATATAATTTGTGGAGTCAGATGTTATTGTGAGTAAAAGGTATTTCACACTTATCCCCGAGTGAAGGGAGAGCAGTTACACCCACCAGGATCCTACCTTACACTATATCTAGTTCCTTCAAAATCAATGAGACAGTCAAGATCCAAAACACAGAACTGAGTTATATAGGCAGATGGGTTTTGCTGGGTGTTATTGAAAGAGAGAAAATGCAAGATTATGTCTGGGTGAAAAGACACAAGCAGATATATCACAGATAACGAAGAAAACAAGGAACCATTAGAGTTACAAAAGTTCTGGTAACATGACTTTAAGAAAAACCTGAGAGCATGCTTTTGGGCTTAGTTCTGGCTAAAAATGGACTTGGTACTGAGAGCAAATAAAATGTCCCTGGCTGTTTGATTCCTACCGAGTTTAGGGAAACAAGACTTTGGGTAATGTTCTTTATAAATAAACTGGAGTACATTGAAGTAATACTTGATTCTGTCATCAATTTCTCCTAATGGAATCAATTCACAAAATCCTTGGCTAACTGTTCAGGTCAAACTTAAAAACAACAAATAGACTAGTAGCACCTTAAAGACTAACAAAACATGTTGATGTTATGAGCTTTTGTGGACACAGCCCACTTCTTCAGATGACAGGAGTATTAGAAGTCCAGATCCAAGAATAAATAAGGGAAGGAGGAAGGGGGGAGAAGGAAAAAGGAGGGGGGGAACTAAAAAGAGAGTGAGTGAGTAGTAAAAAACAGCAAAAAGTTTAGCAGCATCTTAAAGACTAAATAGTTACAAGAGACTGATAAGAAGCATTAGCACCTCCATTGTTTGGTTGGTAGATTAAGTCATAGGATGTGGAAGGTAATGTGCGAGCCAACTGATGTCTTTGTTCATACCATTTGCTTAAGAATTAAACTTGTAAATGAAGTTAAGTTCCAATCCTTCTCTGTGTATTTGGTTTGTGGAATTTGCCTGAAACAAAATGGCAATTTGGAGGTCCATTAAAGAGTGTCCAGGTAGATTAAAGTGTTTTCCAACAGGTTTTTTGTGTATTGCCTTTTCGGATATCTGATTTATATCCATTAATTCTTTCCCTGAGAATTCTTTCCCTGAGAGACTGTCCAGTTTGGCAGTGGGGCACCGTTGGCGTTTGACGGCACAGATAACATTAGTGAATGTGCAGTTAAATGAGCCTCTGATTTGGTGGCTCAGGTGGTAGGCTCCAGTGATGAAATCACTGGTGTAGATGTGTGGGGAGTTGGCACCGGGGCTGACTTCAGGGGCGGGTTCCTGGATGATTCTGCTGGAGGTGTGTTGCGTGGTTATTGGAAAGAATTTGTTTGAGGTATAGGGGTTGTCTGAAAGCGAGGCTTGGCCTTTACTCCAAGGCCTCTGAGAATGAGGGGTCATTTTCCAGGCTAGATTGTAGATTGTTGATTCTGCATTTGAAGGGTTTAAGTTGTGGACTGTAGGTGATGACAAGTGGAGTTCTGTTGTTTTTTTTTCTTTTTGGCTTGTCTTGAAGTAGTTCATGTCTGGCTATCAATCTGTGTTTTCATTTCTTTGGGTGAGTATTTCAGTTTTATGAATGCTCTTTTATTCAACATATTATTACAACCTGGCATCCAGTGGATGAGATAAGTAGTTACCATGGTGTAATTGGCACTAGAATGGAGTAATTCTGTGGGGATCTAGTGCAACCTGATATATGAATTGGAGTGTATCTAAGGAGGACCATAAACTGTGCGTTAAAAAGTACTTCAGTGTTTTAAATGTTTTTCAATGCTCATTTCCATAATTTAAAAGGAGAATCAAGAATAATGAAGCAATCAAAGTTCTTCCTACCTCCTTTATACATGCCAGTGAGTTTGAGCCTTTGCTAGCTGCTTAATTAGCATCCAAATGAAGTAGATTTTACCTGACTACAAAGGATTGACAGATATATGTATGACAAAATCTAGCCATACTGAAGTCATTTAGCAGGCTAAAGCATAGCATGATATAATAATACTGGACACTGATATGGTGTTTTACATGTTCAAAGGGCTTTACAAACAATAACTCACAACATCCCTGTAAGCGAGGTGAATAAGTATCATTCGCATTTTATAGATGGGGACACTGAGAAGAGAAGTGAAGTGACTTCAGTGAGTTTACACAACAGCCGTCAGTGACAAAGCCAGGACTGAAATTTCAGGGATTCCTTCCCTACTGTCTCGGCTCACTCCTCCAGATCACATTGCTCTTCAAGGTAACCTAGCAGTGTGTGCTGGGCTAGTCTATCTGTAGTTGCATCTCTTTCCTATCAAACTACGTCCTTCCTGTACAATTCTTTACTCAGTTCTAATTACAGCTGCAGATTGGAATTAATGCATCATTCCTGGCCATGATTTATTTTGTTAGTGCAACACAAAACACAGTGCTTGTGTCCAGCAATATTTATTTCTAGAGTTTCATTACTGAGGAGGCCACCTGACTCTAATTGCAGGGTCAAAACTTTAATCTATTACTATGTTCTTTGTATTACAGCAGTGCCTAGACATGTTAGCTATGGATCAGAACCCTACTGTGCTAGGTGCTGTCCAGACAGAGAGAAAGAGGCAGTCCCTATCCCAAAATACTTACAATCTAAGGGAAGCACTATCTACCATTGTACAGCTGTGGTTGTATTTTTTTTCCATCACTTGTCTAGTAAGGGAAATCCTGTCTTACTAATCTATTAGAGTTCTTTGAAAGGGTTAACAAACATGTGGACAAGGGGTATCCAGTAGATATAGTATACTTAGATTTTCAGAAAGCCTTTGACAGGGTCCCTCACCAAAGGCTCTTGTGTAAATTACATTGCCATGGGATAAGAGGGAAGGTCCTTTCGTGGATTGAGAACTGGTTAAAAGACAGGAAACAAAGGGTAGGAATAAATGGTAAATTTTCAGAATGGAGAGGGGTAACTAGTGGTGTACCCCAAGGGTCAGTCCTGGGACCGATCCTTTTCAACTTATTCCTAAATGATCTGGAGAAAGGGGTAAGCAGTGAGGTAGTAAAGTTTGCAGATGATACCAAACTGTTTAGGATAGTCAAGACAGAAGCAGACTGTGAGGGACTCCAACAAGATCTCACCAAACTGAGTGATTGGGCAACAAAATGGCAAATGAAATTGAATGTGGATAAGTGTAAAGTAATGCACATCGGGAAAAATAACCCCAACCATACGTACAGTATGATGGGGGCTAATTTGGCTACAACAAATCAAGAAAGAGATCTTGGAGTTATCGTGGATAGTTCTCTGAAAACTTCCACACAGTGTGCTGCGGCGGTCAAAAAGGCAAATAGGATGCTAGGAATAATTAAGAAAGAGATAGAAAATAAGACTCAGAATATCTTACTGCCCTTGTATAACACTATGGTACGCCCACATCTTGAATACTGTGTACAGATGTGGTCTCCTCACCTCAAAAAAGATATTTTGGCCTTGGAAAGGGTTCAGAAAAGGGCAACTAAAATGATTAGGGGTTTGGAACGGGTCCCATATGAGGAGAGGTTAAAACGACTGGGACTTTTCAGTTTAGAAAAGAGGAGACTGAGGGGGGATATGATAGAGGTATATAAAATCATGAGTGGTATGGAGAGGGCAAATAAAGAAAAGTTATTTATTAGTTCCCATAATAGAAGAACTAAAGGGCACCAAATGAAGTTAATGGGTAGCAGGTTTAAAACTAATAAAAGAAAGTTGTTCTTCACACAGCATGTAGTCAACCTGTGGAACTCCATGCCAGAGGAGGCTGTGAAGGCTAGGACTATAACAAAGTTTAAAGAGAAGTTAGATAATTTCATGGAGGTTAGGTCCATAGAAGGCTATTAGCCAGGGGATAGAAATGGTGTCCCTGGCCTCTGTTTGTCAGAGGCTGAAGAAGGATGGCAGGAGATAAATTGCTTGATCATTATCTTTCATCCACCCTCTCGGGGGCACCTGGTGCTGGCCACTGTCGGCAGACAGACTACTGAGGTAGATGGACCTTTGGTCTGACCCAGTACGGCCATTCTTATGTTCTTACTCCTCCTCCCCATCACTTTGTGTTACTGGGTGGCTAAGGCCCCAGTCTGGTATGAGCCTACTTACCTGAGCTTCCCAAACTTACACAGAAAGTTAAGGTTCTGTTATGGTTATTTGTAGTAATATTCACATACAGGTTGCAGGCAATAAATAAAAATTCCCAGGAGCCGTGCCCTGGGCATGACTTTTATTATAATTAAGTGTGTTAGGGAATGACACCCAGGAGCCTATGCTGCAGGGTAGGGACACCCAACCCTCCCCTTGCCACAGCCAGTGCCAAGAGATGCAGGTGCACAGCCCGACTCCAGCCCCAGGAGAAGCCACCGGAGTAAAGGAGACACACAGCTCCTCCCTCGGCTCCCACTGATGTAGCAGGTTGGGGGCACACAGTCCCAGTTAGCACCACAGGTGCAAGGGGATGCAGTGCTCCAGTTCTGGACAAAGCAGCTGGTTGGTCGTACAATTCTGGCTCTGCCCCCACCACTGATAGTGGATACCAATGTCATGGAGGATCTAGTAAAGTCTTGGAATCCACGACTTCCGTGACTAAATCTTCCTTATGCACATATTTAGCACTGGGAGTAGTATCACTGAATCAACGGGACTGCACATAGTGGGGAGAGTTAATCATGACCATACATCATTGAAGATCTGGGCTTTAAATTGTAAGATCTTTGGGGCAAGGACTGTGTCCTCCTATGTGTTAGTACAGCACCTCGCATAATAGGGCTTGCATCTAACTGGAGTTTCAGAGCACTACTGCCATATAAATACCAAATATTTGGAACCTTTAATTTGAGCATTTGCAACATCTCAGATTAAGATCTGTAGTCTGTTTGCATATTCACACATGCAAAAGTTTTGACCTTCTAATTTCTGCGACAGTCCATTTTAAATATGCAAACTTAATTTCTGCAAAGCAGTTTCCCAAGCTGCCAACATCTTATATTATCAAATATAAGTAATAACTAATTAGTAATAAAATCCATATGGCCTTTTGTTCCAGCTTAAAACCTGAGAGCACATCATTATTACTCTGTAAATCATAATTATTTTTATGATATGTAATTCACCAAGGATTAATTTAGTTGAAAGTGTACTCTTGACCTACAGCTGTACTCTTATCCTAGCATGTTCATTATTTTACATTTGAAAAACAAACAGGCTCACCTTTTTGCAGACAAAGTCACCAGGTAAATACACAATGGATTTCAGTCTCAGCAGCATGTCATAAATCATTTGCGTATCACAGCCCTATTAAAAATAATTAGAATTTTGTTATACTTGTGCAGTACTTGAAATGATTACCAGCAGGTTTCTGCTGGGAAGCAAGAGACAGTAATACATGAATATCTTGAGCTAAGGCTTCAAGTACTCAGCATGGATTTAAAGGGTCATAAAAGTCAATTTCTGGAGCATAGAGAGAATGCTGGAGAAACTGTCGTTACCTGTAGGGCCCTTATTATGGTATTATCTGAGTTCCTCAAGCTGTCTTCTCTGAAGTTTTGAAAGAATAGTCTTTCTTACCAAAAGATGTCTGTATATGTATGTGACTCTCATGCTTGTCTAATTAAATGCATTCAGTGCTATGATAACAGCTGTATTCTCTAGTGCAATATTGCTTGGGTGATATAAAAATGTAATCTGGTCACCCGTTCACAGCAGAAAATTCCCCTAGTGGTACAAACCTGTGAGCAGTAGTGTCTTCAGTAGCTACATGGATGTTTTAACACCAACTACAGTGATTTATTCCAGCAAGGATCTGGCCTGATCCATTTAACCTCTCTCATAATTTCCTCTGACAAATTGCTTAGAAAAATTACAACTAGGATATGTCATGACTTACCATTTTACTTTAAAAAAAAAGAAAAAAAAAGAAAAAAGGAAGACTTCTACATTCTTTGCCTTGGGAAAGTATAACAGTTCTTACTAATCCCATGGCAAAGACCCAGTTTGAATGATCATGTAACGCTTATGTCCCTGAGACAACTAAAACTACTTAATAATAATTAGAAAATCCATTTGCTCATATTTCTCACAAAAGTAATATCTGGGGTATCTGTTATTTTCCTATACCTAAAACAGGTAAGAGAATTGTGCCCTCACATAGCACTGAGTAAGCATGGGCAAATGATGCAGATCCTATGGAGGGTAATTTTTCCTTCTACAACCTCATCTTTCTGCCTCCTTGACTTAGTTATACAGCCTTAGTTATACAACTAAGTTATATAAGCCTTAGTTATACAACCACTTACGAACTGGTTATGGACCAAGCAATTGGTTGTAAGTCGGATCCCATTGAGTTACACGCGACCGCGCTGTTCGTAAGCACGGATCGCGTTCGTAACTCAGGGTCTGCCATTTACGACATTTTTGGTCGTAACTGCGAACAGTCGTAAGTCGACTGTTTGCAACTTGGAGACCGGCTGTACTCCAGAACAGTTATGTAGATTATACCACTATTTGCCACCTCTAATTCTGGTCCCATAACACCAATGTAACTGCACTAAAATAACAGTACAATATTTTCATTTCACTCAATCTATTTTGCCTCTGCTTTGGATGAAGAAATAGGCACTGGGCTCAATCCAAATATGAGCTTCCATTCACTTGGCAACCTCTTGACATTATTTTGCCTTTAATATAACAAGATCCTACATATTGCAACTTGCGCAAAACTAGATTTTATAGTTCACAAGAACATGTTGCTCCATTCTCTTTTAAAACTACTTGCTTTGAATAAGTCGACTTTATTGACAATGGCAAAGTTCACATCAACTGCAATGGCTAGCTGCATCTTGGCTGGCATCTGCTCCAGTAATTCTGATTCATCTGCAAGAGGGAAAAAAAGACCCCATAATTCCTAATTACAAAGTTGAAATCCAAAGGAAGAACAAAAAGCAGCAAGGGAATTAAAAATAATCAAAAACGAACCTATTCCTTGTACAGAATAGCCTAATAGAATCATCTGTAACATACATGAGATCTAACAGACGAATACTCTTTCAGACTAAGAAACTGTGCAGTAAACTCTTCTCCTGAACTCTAGTCAGAACAATATTATAGATGGATAAACATGTGAAAACCCCTGGCTTGTTTTTAGACTCCAGATACTTTATTTATAGAAAAGAGAATTCAAAAAATGTAGCTGTTTATTACAACAGGTACCAATCCTGGATGTAGTCTACTTTTCAAATATTCAAGACAGCCTCAGAACTGCATATGAAGACTACCATTGATGTCTTCTTGCTGTGTTGCTGGAAGTTCAGGTTAGTGATCCATCTTTAAATACTACACTTTCAGTGCATGCAAATACTAAATGTAATGATTTTACCTCTTAGAAAACACTTCAATCCACCAATTCTAGTACAGTTTTTTTCTTAATGTGTGTGTTCAGGGGTGGCCCTAGACTAGCTGCCAGCAACTGGAGCCCTAGGCGAACCATGCAATCGGCGCCCCCCCACCCCGCCATCCCCAATGGCAGATATCGACTGAGGGTTTTGGTTCTGTGTTGGGGAGAAGGTGGCTGGGGATGGAGTTCTGTGGCTGGGGGCCGAGGGGCTGGGGATGGAGTTCTGTGGCTGGGGGCCGAGGGGCTGGGGATGGAGTTCTGTGGCTGGGGGCCGAGGGGCTGGGGATGGAGTTCTGTGGCTGGGGGCCGAGGGGCTGGGGATGGAGTTCTGTGGCTGGGGGCCGAGGGGCTGGGGATGGAGTTCTGTGGCTGGGGGCCGAGGGGCTGGGGATGGAGTTCTGTGGCTGGGGGCCGAGGGGCTGGGGATGGAGTTCTGTGGCTGGGGGCCGAGGGGCTGGGGATGGAGTTCTGTGGCTGGGGGCCGAGGGGCTGGGGATGGAGTTCTGTGGCTGGGGGCCGAGGGGCTGGGGATGGAGTTCTGTGGCTGGGGGCCGAGGGGCTGGGGATGGAGTTCTGTGGCTGGGGGCCGAGGGGCTGGGGATGGAGTTCTGTGGCTGGGGGCCGAGGGGCTGGGGATGGAGTTCTGTGGCTGGGGGCCGAGGGGCACAGGGGGCAGCCCCCCATGTGCTGCCTCTCCCAGGACTTACCCCCCTCCTGGCCGCAGGGAAGCCATGCTCCAGGTAAGGCATGGGAAATGGAAGGGGCAGGGTTTGGAATTTGGCGCCCCATGCAACTTGGCACCCTAGGCTTCTGCCTAGTTTGCCTACAGGCACGGGCCACCCCTGTGTGTGTTTCTGAAGGCCCTACAAAACAGCATGTTGGGTTGGCTTTTTTGACATTAGTTATCTGTCAGATTATTATGCATTTCTCTCACCCACTCCCAGGCAATTCAGAAAAGATCCATGTATTCCTTGGCTCTAAACAGAACATTTCTGCTGAGAGTCAGTATTTGAGCAGATATGGTATAGTTTGAGAGTCGCCTTACCCAGCATTCCTTGAGAGTCCCAGGTGTATTCATACCAGGTTCGAACACGATTCTGAACTACTTTTGGAATTGTATAAGTGTTCATGTAAGAGACAGTGTTATCCATGCTGGCACGGTAGTAATTCTGTCCTGCTGTAGCTGCTCCAATTACATCTCGCATCTGCAAATATCAGTTGTTACAGCAGAACACATTTTGGCAGTAAAAGTTTTGAGTTTTTAAGTGATCATTTTGCAAATACAGACACCGTGTTAATATATATTAGTGGTAATGGATTTAAACTAAATTGCATTAGTTTTCATCTGTTGTTTTTAAGAGGGACTACATATCTTAATGTAGTCATGTTAGAAATAGTTTCACATATCATAGCTACCCCTGAATGTCAGTTTGATTTTTATATTTTTCCTGGTTTTAAACATACTTTTCTGTTCCATGTTGCAGTTAGTGAAAAATACAGTCTAATGAATAAATTAAAGTATAAATCTTCCAGATATAGGAATCTTGTGTTGCTTGTAGGTAAAATATTTTCAGATGAAGGCATGATTTTTAAATTGAAGATGCTCCTTTAAAATTCAATAATTAAGCCCCTCTTTGTTTGGCATGCAGTGGCAAATCAGAACTGAAGTTAAAAATGTGTTAACACCAGTTGATGCCACTAGACGTAAAAGTTTGCCAGTGTTTCTCTCATCAGATATTTTTAATCGGTCATAAAAGTCAACTTAGAGCTGCACATTAATCTTGAAGGTCTTTGCAGAAAAGCAGTTCAACATTTTTACAAAAAAGTCACATATCACTTTATAAAAATTTAAATGCATTAATATTTGAAAACACTATTTTCTAGATACCAATACATTTTTGGTAGAATGTTCAAATATCTGTGTGGTGACCAATTACTAAGATGATTGTGGGCTAAATCCTGCTGTCACGTTGGAAGTTTGGAGGAACTCTATAGAGCTCAGTAGGAATTACTCTGGATTGATACACATGTAACAAAGCAGAACTTAAGTAACTTTAACCATCTTTGAAAACTCAAAAGTTCTCCATTGACTGGATATTCATGTACCTTTTCCTGTACCTATATTTAGGCCTTGATCCTTCAATTGACTATGCACAGGTAGAGTGGAGAGTTAACCATTTGCAGAGAGTTAACTGCGGGACAGAGGCTTTAATAAAGGATCTAGGTTAGGAGAAAAATGTGCAAAGATTTGGCTCTTTAGTAAGAATTTCTTCAACTTTATCTCATCATCAGGCTAGGAAGAGGTGCTCTGCTGATATTTTCAGAGTTTGCTGGATTGGATATATTGCAAACACTACAGGCATAGTCTGTTTTATGATATTTTAGTTGGGGCTGTAAAACACAGTTAAAAATATAACCATGTAGCTATTAAAAATCCTAATGGTTACATGGCTACATGTGTATAAAACTGCAGAGCCCTCAGTGCAGCCAGCTCCCTGGGAATGGGGCTAACAGCTGGGAGTTGGTGTGCTTAAGCTAGCTTACACACACCAGCTTTGGTTGCTAGCCCTGATCCTGGGGAGCCGGCTGCTGGGAGCAGAGCCGGGAGCCAGCATGTCGCCATAATGGAATCCATAGTTACACTCTTACATCCCTAATTTTAGTATTTCTTTTTCCACTCCTTGTGCTACCAAGAAGTTAGCGGTTTATGCCCTGTTATTTACCTGACACACACTTTTTTCACTTGATTTGTTAAACTTTCTCAGATCTTGTGGACAACAGAAATATAATTAAATGCCACAGGGTTTGCCTTATTTGAATTCACCATCATACAGCGATTTCTGCAGGAGTCCAATAGGACTCACTGCCACATGTAAGATCTATGACTGTTCTTCTGCATCCAGGAGAATTCTTTTCAAACCTGCTGCAATTCAAATGTCACTTCAAGAGTTAGTTTTTAAAAACAACCTTTTGTTGATGCATATTACTTTGGAAACTTTGCATTTTTTTTCAAAAGACAATACAAATGAATTGAAAACAAGAACACCAATTTAATCTTAACCAGAGGTTGACATGTGCCAAATTTGCAGGTGTAATACGTGGCAGACAGTAGATCTCCTGTTTCACTGAGTTCTTAGGAGTTACCTAAAACTTTGTAAAATCAGGGGAACACTAAATAACGCACAGATACATCAGCATTCAGTGCAGTATTGTACCTTTCATATTTGTAAGAGTGATATCACTTTACTTCAATCAGGGTTGCTCAGCGGGTGAGGGGAGGGAAAAGGGCAGTTTACCCATAGCCCCCTATATCAGAGGGCTCCAAAACCTGACTGACCTGGCACATGGAGTCACAGCAACACTCACTGAAATTTGCTAGCTGGGCTAAGCCTGAGAAGCACTACAAACCCATCCATCAGGTTGCAAAAGCTGGGAGCAAGCAGTGCCAGATTTTACCAGAGGCCCTCCAAAACCTTCTCTGCATCCCTGATTGCAATTAACATAAGCCAGTTGCATAAATTCATGAGCTCTGATGCGACTATCTGAGCCATAGGGGTAGGCCTCCAGGTGGAGTTCATCAGAAGGACCCAACTGCAGGACTGGAGCTGGGGTCTCAAAAATGGCGGTCTACTCATTCATGGGGCTACTACCATAGCTAAATACATCTGTCAGAAAAAATATCGAGAGTGGAGATTTTTTTGATCTTCTACGTCAGAGTTTTCTGTATTATGTATATGAATGAGACCATCAAGAGTATGCTGTCATTACACTGCAGTCATTTACACAACTGGAAATCTAGTGATCAATTCATTTATTTACCTGACCAATTAAGCTGGAGAACACAAAGACACCCATGAAAAAATTCAGTAGTTGAAAGATTATTTCAAAGAGCGTGTGCGGTTCTGCAAGGCCACCAATGGTAATTAAAGTGCGCACTGCCCAGTAATAACACCTCAGATACCTGGGGATAAACACAACATAAGTTTTATTGACTTCAGTGGGATTGTTCATGTATTTAAAGTTGCGTTTACGCTTCGCTGGCTTGAGTCCAGGATCAAGCCCTGTGTACTTTTCAGCATAAGAACTCTTTAAGGCTTCACAAGTGATTGCCCAGTCCTGCAAACCTTACTAATGAAAGCAGATCCAATAAAACTCCAAATCTGGTGCATACAGGAAATACAATAGCTACTTACCAGTGCCCAGTAACTCTATATGACAGTTTAGGACAATATCTAATTGAAACTGCCCAGGAGGCTTTCAAGCAGGCAGAATGCAGTTATCTTTTATGAAAATACCATGGTGATAAGGGCATGATAAAAACTTTGCTAAACAAGTGGCGGTCAGGCAGATTAACTACACTGGTAAACTCTACTGGCAAAGCATTCCCAGTGTGGCTGCAGTTTATGGCAGCAAAACTGCACTTCTCCTGGCCCATCTTATTTGAGCTTTCCTCCCTCGTAGCATAAATGCAGAAACTAAGGATATAGGGGGTGCTGCATGACCCCCAGGTTTACATGGGGTTCTGCTGCTGGCCCTCTTCCCAAGATCTTGGCTGCTCAGGGTCCTATCTGCCTGTTCTGTGCTCAGGGTCCCTTTACCCTTGTCCATGTCCCCTCTAGAGACATAGCCCTGCTCCCAGCTCTGGATAATGGGGCAGACAATGGGGAGGGGACTGGCTTTCAGCACTCTCACTATTAAATGTCTTTCCACACAGCTGCCTCTGAGTGGAAAAAACCTATATAAGTGTCATATTCTAGTGTGCACCCTAGACCAGTGGTGTCACCAAAAAAACCCATGCAAGTCAGACCATGAGTGCCTGTGTATTGCTATAGCCTTCCAGCAACATGCTAGTCACACTCTGGCCTACTGATGTAAGAGAGTAGTCTATTAGCTGACTGACAGATAAGGTTAGGCTTATCGGTTAGTCAAGTTGACTATCCAACTACTCGCATCCCCCCTTGCTGCCTATGTATCAGAGGCAGCAGGGCAGAAAGAGCTTAAAAGGAGCTTGCTCGATCCTGGCTTATGGCTGGGTCCGGGACATATCCCTCGCTGTGGCTCTTCAGTAGTACCTGTGGTAGAAGCCAGGCTGCCTGCCCACCTGGCTCTTACTTCATTTAAACAGCAGAGCCCCAGAGGGGGTAGCTTCTGGATCCAGGACTGAGAGCCTTCCCTTATCAACTAACTGTGCAGTTGATAAAAATTCTATCAACTACACGAATAGTGAAATACCTCCTGCTTAACATCCTGGAGGCTTCTACCAGCCTCAGTTATCACTCACAGGATGGACCCAACACATTCCCAGTCCTGAATTTTCCCCAAGGCATATGTTTTGCACTGTCCAGTTCAGATATTTAAGGTCCATTGCCCCTGTAAGGTGTCAAAATTCAACAATTTGCTACATCAGCTGGAGTACCCAAATAATTCAGTTTAAATGCAACACTGGATTAATTTTGATTTTAAAAAAATAAAACAAGTTTATATACGGTTTTAAATGAGTACAAGCATAAGGTGTTAGTCAGAAATGGTCAAAGGTGAGCTAAAGATAAAATGTGTTCTAGTAGCTACAACTTGAAAAACTAGACTTGGTTGGTCGAGCTCAACTCCTTACCCCATGTTCCCTGCTGACCAAATTCTCAGGTCAACATGAACCATCAAATTCAAAGAGCTGGTTCCTTTGTCATCTTAGGTGAGAGAGGGAAAGAAAGAAAGTGAAAGTGGGGAGTTTTTGCCCCCTCACTTTTATACTTCTGTATCCTTTTGAAATGCATTGTCCTGCAGTTGCCACTAGATAAAGTTCCTTCTCTCTCTGTAGATGGAAACAAGGAGTCTTGTGGTAAAAGAGGTTCCATGTAGTCATTTGCTAAAATGCAGAGCAATCTGTTCCTGTCTCCCCTGCTTTGTTACTAAAGAATGTCCACTTGACCAGTAACTGCCAATCAACTTTGATGTCACCTAGCTAGAGCTGCTGGCTTGTCTTTGGTCTATGAGAAACAAAATCATCCCTCCTCAGACTTTTCTGGTAAATACATTTCAGTTATCATTTCAGTTTATGTTCAAAGCTTTATATCTAATGTGGTTATAGACATTTCACCATGATATTATAGACATGCACATTATTAATCTTCAAATGTAATCCTACCAGCCATATTTTGCTCAAAGATAATTACAATAGCAAGTACGGGGTGAATTCAGGGGTGCACTGGGTCGCAACCAGCAAAAGTGCTATTTTGCTAGTATAACTGTGTCTATGCGAGAGGCTTTTTGCTACCACTGCTATGTCAGTACATACTGCACCTCATTATAGCTGTGTTAGCAAAAGTCTAGAATATAGACCTAACCTGAGATTAGAATTTAGTTATGACATCACACCAGTGTTAACTCCCTTGCTTTTGTCCGAAGTGCACTGGGATCTGTAAGAATCACACAAGCAACAAATCTGTTTTAAATGACATTGGAAAGATGGCACTGCTAAATGCACATCATCAACCTAATACTAGGTTGGATGGGATGGATTCATTTTTAAACCAGTCCATCATTTTAGTGAAAGTAATAGTAGTCCTTGCTTTTGTGAGTTAAGGTATTTTTAAACAGGTAATTTGAGTCTTTAGAAATATTTTTCTTCCCTAGCCAATTCACAGAAAATCACTAATTTATAATGGAGCCTCCTCAATGTCTGAACAATCAAATTCTAATGCCTTTTCAGTTTTAGAGTTAATTTTCCCTAACTGTTCAATAAACTCTTCCATTTTAGTATGATCACATTTTACAGACTTTTTTTAGATTTAGTAATATTCTATTACATTTAGAAAGAAACTTAATATGGAGTGCAAATGACTGAAAATCCTGAAAGCAGATGTGCATGTGCATACTTTTTCTATCTGCCTCGAGTTCTGAAACCCACTGATCTGTTAGCAGGCTTAGGGCCTACATTGTAATTTACTGATGCCATGTATATCCTTAGATGGGTACTGTATAGATAACAGTACCATTTGAGAACAAAGTGGCAGCAGTTTTTTATAAATTCAGTGACACTTGAATGAAGGCAATGTTCTGTTTTAAACCACTTTATATATACTTCAGGCTTTCAGTATGCTTTTATTTGACCTTTGAGTTAAAAAACAACCTGTGAAAAGCAATTGATTTTTTTTTAACTGATCCCTAGGGTGGTCACGCTAGGCTAGCTTCACTATAATGAGATTTAGTAATTATCACTTTTACCACAATTATTCACTTGCAGACTTTTTAACAGCTAAAATTGTCATTTTTTTCATTAACAAGTCTGAAACTGAAAATGCACTGCAGACCTGTTATCACGTAAAACTAATTCTTTCCCTTATCAGTCTCCTCCAGGATTGTGGTTATAATATGGACATCTAGATTAAACCCCTATATTGTTCCCATAGTACCACAGATTCACCCATCCAGCTGCTTTCTAGCAAAGTCTGCACACCTGGTATCTGTTTCCCATGGTTCTGTAGTGCACGTAAATGATAAGAAAAGATTGTTTCTCTTTTGTGTGCATCACTGCTTTGAGGGTAAAAGGACGCCCTAACCCATTTAGAGCTCCATATGGAGTAGGTTAGTTAATGCCTAAAAAGATATCCAGTATTCATGGGACATAACTGAGACTGCTGGGCTGGTCCCTTAAGAACTTAAAAATAATAATGGAAATAGTGCTAGTTCTGGGCAAGTGACCTTGGAATTTCAGAGTAAGCGTACATGTTACGTGAAACATTAGTAGCTTCTCTATCAGCTTCATGCAGCATGGACACACTAACTGACTATTTTTCCCCTTTTTTCTTTTTCTTCCCTTTTCTCCCCATATCCCCTATTTATTTAGAAACTGGACCTTTAATAAATCCATTCATCTGAAGAAGTGGTTTGTGCCCACAAAAGCTCATGATACCATCTACATTTTTTTGTTAGTCTGTAAGGTGCAGCAAGACTGTTCGTTGTTTTTTAAGTTTCTTGAATTACAGACTAAGGCTATGTCTAGACTATGCTGAAGTTTTGAAAGAGGATATGCAAATTCCATGGGAAATTTCACTTTCGAAAGTGAAAGTAGTTGAGATGCATTTTTTCGGCAACTTCCCTCCCCTTTTTCAAAAGGCCACTCTTCCTCAAAAAACCAGGTTTACGCAGCTTTTTGAAAAAGGGGGCGGTTGCCAAAAAAACCACGTCCTGACTACTTTCACTTTCAAAAGCTCTGCTTTCGAAAGTGAGATTGGAAAGAGATATGCAAATTCCTGCGGAAAATTCCTCTTTGGAAACTTCAGTGTAGTCTAGACAAGCCCAAAGTCAGCTACCCTTCTGAAGCTTATCATAGCTAAGAATCAGAGTTATCATCTCTGTCTCACAGAGGCGATCAGGAAAACATGATACAGTGTGAGCACTAGGTGGCAGTCTAAGGAACTTCAGGGGTTGGTCTTAATGCTGTGTTCGTGTACACCTGAAAAGCAAGTGTATGTTTAAAAACAAAATCTGTGTCCCTCTAGTGCTATGTTCAGTGCAGTGCATATAGTACTTCTGTGGTCTTAGTTCACATGGACCCTTTTTACAGCATGAGTCATATGCTGCTCACTGTGTCTATCAGATACAGGTTTTATATTTTCCCCATTTCTTCAGTTTATTGTTCTTGCTTTAATCTGATCTAAGAGTTCAAAAATATAAGGTCATTCTGCCAAGACAAAACAAGGGAAGAAGAAATGGTAAAAAACAAAGACAGATTCCAAATGCTGTGGTATTCACAGCTCTGCTTCCTACTGGCTAATTATAGCTTGAAATCATTGCCATACAGTAAACTGGATAGCTGAGAAATTACTCTTAAAGCAAACAAAGTAGAGACAAGAGCGGGGTTTATGTTATAGACAGTATGCTTAGTCCTCAGGCAATTAACCCAAAATATCCCCAATATAAGGAATACACATACAAACATTCATGAACAGTGCAAACAAGATA